CTAACGAAGTACCTACTAGTAAGAAAGTAAGTAAGTAGTAGTACGACTACTACTACGTAAGTAAGTACTAGTATTAGTTTCGTTTATTGTCGACCGTCTATTGTCATAGTGTGTGTGTGTGTGTGTGTGTGTGTGTGTGTGTATATATATATATATATATATATATATAAGGTGCAGTTTGTATAGAGCCTAGGCTCTAAACCATCAAATTAGAGCCTACCTTCAAATAGTGTCGAGAAATATGGTTTCACTACTGAGAATCTTTGTGATAGCCTTAAAATATAATTTCATCTTCATTTATAAAGTTTAAAGCTTAGTGTAGATCAATAGATCTATGAAAATCTTGAAAATTGACGGTCCAAAAATGCATTATAAAATATCCTATTTCCAAAACTTGAAATCTATTTTTTTTTCATGTCTATGCATTTAGATGTCGAGATGATCAATTTGAAGATTTTTGGGCATGAAAACAACCTCTTCTAGTAAAATTTTTGAGGTAGGCTCAAATTTGATTGTTTAGAGCCTCGGCTCGATATAAACTTTCACCATATATATATATATATATATAGAGGGGAATGATATATATGCATTAAATATAGAGTAATTATTTGGGTTCTTTTTGGTGGATTATGTGATTCTATTTAAATGATTGGAAAAAAAGAAAAAAAATTAGAGACCACTATAACCAATTTTCAACTAGATAAATAAAGGACACGGTTTCTATGCGGCCAGCCCGCATATTGTAGAAATGTGGGCTTGGCAATAAATATATATTTTTAAATATAATTTGATCCTAATATTTGGAGAATATATAATCTTCAACATGGAGATCATGAATACAAAAAAAAAAAATTTGAAGACTAGAAATAATAATTATATTAAGAAAACATTTGGATCGTTAGTTACACTTGTTTTTAGATGGACCACCTATTTGCATGCATCTTTAAGATGGATGCTTTATACCTCTGGACTGCATATTGTAGAAATGCGATCGAGCCCGCATGAAACAATTTTCCATAAAATAAATACATATAGAATCTTAATGCAATTGCTTTGGTCCAAATGATAGTTTCTGGCATGCAGAACACAATGCATAGCATAGGCCACTTGTTTAAAATCAGCTTATAATTGATCTTTGTTTAATTAAAATACTTGCCAATTGATTCATTTGTGTAATCTGTGTTCTCATAGTCATAAATTAATCCCTTACTGGGTGCATTAGCCAGAAGGATTTGGGGAATGTGTATTAACCAGAGTTACAATGAAATTTTGTGCTTGGTGGAAAGTGTCCTTGGAGTACTCTTTTGTCCTAAAATAGCAGCTTAGTTGCTATCAATGCCTATGAAATATATCTACTGCAAAGTACCAAGAGAAATATTTGTTGGAGCTTGTGCAAGAATGGACAATGCACAAAAGAATAATCACTGACATACTCCACCATGTAGGTAAATCTGTATTACCAGATTTACAGTCCTGCTTTTTGTGAATGGATCAGGAATACGTGAGGGTACTGGGGCAAAGTTACTCTTAAGAACGCACTTCATTAGGTCTTCATGTTTCCTACATGTAACTACATTTATCTGTACCTGTCCAGCTATACACACTGGTTATGTCAGAGCTATCTTTGGTCAACTTGCTAAAATACTAGCTATGTATAGCTCTTTATTAATTTTCTTCTTTCTTCATGCAAACCCAGTTTTGACCTTATGCTTTGTTGTATGCCAAGTAGGGCGAAAGTGATGTGCCTACAGGGCCAGTGGCTGCTTCTCTTCAGGTATTGGCATGAAGTGCAATCCGTGTATTTCCATTTAGATGTAAACTTCTAATTGGATACTTGTCAATAAAAATAAAAAAGTATATCTAACTGGAAGCTTTGTTTTTCCTTATTTTACCTTAGATAGTTTAGTCCTTTTGGATCTATGGTTTTATTTGACTGCTTCAAGTTCTGCAGTAGACACATGCAAGTGATGTAGCTCACTTTATCAGGGAGGAGATTGGATCACAATCGGTGCTGATTGGACATTCGTTTGGAGGACTCATAGTTCAATCCTACATTTCAAATATGATTCGACCTTTGAAATCATCAAATTCTGGTGGGTCGGGGGAGGGGATTACAGGCCCCTACCCTTTTTCTAGAAAGAGTCAATTTTTTTGGAAGTGTTAGTGAGAATGGAGGCCGTGAACAAGTGAGAATGGAGGCCGTGAACCTTAACTGGGGCTTGGGTGGTACGACCACCACGACTCCAGCCCCATTCTCATAATTACACTGTCATAATTACTCTGCACTTCAACTTTATAAAAGTTAATTGATCTCATTTCTTATATTCAGAGAGGGAGGATTCGTACCCAGAACTTGCAGGAGCCATTCTTATCTGTTCTGTGCCTCCTTCTGGTAACAGGTGGATGATCTCAATTGTCACTTTTTTCTTATTGTCTCAAATATCAAAACTTGTTTTCATAATGTGTATTATGTTCAATGTGTTTTAGTGGATTAGTATGGCGGTATGTCTTCTCCAGACCCGCTGCTGCTTTTAAGGTATGTTTTATTTTATGACATATTTCCCAAGTTATTCTTGACTGGCCAACTGATTATCACAATGGAAGAATTTTCTTTTTCAATGGAAGACTTGACATGGCTTTCATCTTTGAGTTTCTCCTTGGCACTTGTGCAAAGGACATCATCTTTTTGATGGAATTCCTGCCAGGCATATAAGAGTACATTTATTCTACTATTTCAGGTTACACTCAGCTTGGCAGCGAAAGCTTTTGCAACTTCTTTGCCCCTTTGTAAAGAAACATTTTTCTGTGAGGATATGGGAGACCGGCTAGTACAACGGTTTGTTCACAAGCTCATCTTGCTTGTTACTTAATTGAAATCGATATCTATTTTCGTGAATTTTGGAAAAGTCCATTTGAAGCATCATTTTGTATCCATCAATTTCATGTACTAAGGATTCAGTTCAAAACGCTTAATTAAATATTCTCACTACTAATACAAGTAAAATTGCCAATTGATAAAAACTATAACCTAAATTGCTATGCACAAGTGTTATAAGATTCTTACAGTTCTCTGTTCTTTCTTTTTGGTGGTATGTTGGATTATTGAATAGCATGTTACATAACATTGGGCTCAGCAGGTTAGGATCTTCCTACTGCAGATGTGGTCTTGTGCTTCAGAATTGAGAGTTGGCATGCTTATATTATTATGATAGACTTTCTTATGTCTTCATCTCTGTAAATGTTACCTTAGAGTCTAATTTGGCTCCTATTTTCCATTGTGCTGTTGTCTTCGTAGATACAGCATTGAGCCCATGGTTTCACAATCAAATTGTAGTTTCTTTTTTTCATTTTGTGAGATTTTGATATATCAATTTGTCCATTTGCTCATATTTACTGTTCTTACTGAACTTCTCTTCGACCATTTAGCTTTTGTTGGTACCCTTGTTAGTTGAGGTCTTTGGATGCTTCAAAAACACAGTGTTCTAAGCCCCAACCTCCAATTAATACACTAAGATCAGGAAGCTGATATATGCTGTACTCTTCATTGGTAGGACTAACACACTTGAAATCGAAAACAAACATTATTTATGAACATATAATGAATCAACTTTAGGCTTATTATATTTTTAGGTTTATGTTTTATTTCATTAATGAGACTTGCGTTAAAGTTTAAGGTAGTAAAAGGGAGTATAAATGATGAAATAACAACAAAAGCCCAAAAAGGCAGTGTTTGTACCATACTTACCCGAAGCGAATCGGAAACCGAATCGATTTAGGAATCGAAAGCTCGGAATCACCGGCGGCTGGAAGATTCTGTACAAGAGGAATCATGGGGGACGAGATTCCTATTTTTAGGAATCTAGATTCAACCAAAATAGAATTGAGATCCCACCTAGATGGAATCAAGATTCTTAGCTCTTTGGAATCGGGTTTCCAACCCAGTTGGAATCAACAAATCTGGAATCAAGATTCTGTCATATATGGAATTGGGATTCCGACATCTTTGGAATCGAGAGGGAATTGATAGGGAAACAATACATGTCGTAATGTCATTCATTGACTGACATGCCACTCATGCATGTTTACATTATTTCTAACATCTTGGAGTTGCAATCTCTCCATTGAATTAATACAATACATACTTAAAGAATTAAGTAGAGAACATGGACCACTACTTTGGTTTCTATTGGTCAAATGCCAAAAAGGGTGACTACACCTTGTATTTGAGATTGAGTTTCAGCTTGAGTAGTTTTATACCTTGAAAACTTCTAAACATCACTCCTCAGAATATAAAAAGAAACGAAAAAAGGGGAGAAGTGGTAGAATTCCAGTAAAGGTGGAAACCAGTTTCAACAAGTGTAGAATCGAGATGCACCAATTGTGGAATTGGGAATCAGTAAATATTGGAAACAAGATTCTATAAGTATTAGAATTGATATCCCTAAAATAAGGAATTAATATTCTAGACTTCACGGAAATGGGTTCCGTGAAGATTCTTAGTTAGAATCGTTGAATCGGGGTTCCAAATCGGAATTGCGACCTCTAGTGAGAGATTCGGGTAACTATGGTTCGTACTTAACTACCCTTTCCCAATTGATACCCATATTTGGCAACCCTGTTGAGGAAGGGGTTGGCTTCCCTAGGTTATTAGTGAAAGTAACATTGTCAACTGGGTCGGAAACTGAATCACTGAGAAGAAAGTAACATTGTCTAGTTTGTCAACTGGCTCTTGGCTCACATTCAAATCCACCTGAAACTGAATCACTGAGAAGAACATTGTCATGGGCTAAATGGGTGTCACTGAAATTTGTTCCCATCAAACTGGCAGGCTTCGTATGATCAGTTATGTGCTGGAAAATTTTGGTGGAAGATGAAATTATATAGAATGGTGTTAGCAAGATGCTGCCATGTCCTCTGAAAGTTCTTCACTAGAACATGACAAGTCTTTTCTGGAATTGTCCACTATCCAATTGTATATGTGGGTAACTTGGGATGGTTTGGTCTCTCCATTTCTTCAATCTCCTTTATACAACAGTTTATTGCTGTGTAGAATAGTGTAACGCCCCACAACAAGCCAATTACAATACCTTAAGGTGGCTTCCTTCCTCTTCCTTGGATTGGGAGAGTGTCTAGTTTGTCTAAGGACTCTCCCAAGCAATTTGGCTTGGCTCTTGGTTTGGGACTATGAGAGCTTTAATTGGTGAATATGAACAAAGGTTAATGCTTTTAGTTTTTTAGGTGAGTTACCTTTCAAGAAAGAATTATTGTAGACCCATAACTCAATTGGCACATCACTATGGATTGTGTATTCGAAATTCAAAATCTAATGTAGAAGGTTAAGTTTTACTACTATTGGGATGAAATTGGGGAAGAAAAACTTTCTTGTAAATAACTCTCTTGAAATATTTAATCAACATATATACATTCCATAAAAATGGGTTGTATCAGTGCCTTCATTCTGCTAAATGAGTTTTTGGGTTGGCCTTGCAGTTCCATTGGAGAATTGAGGTGCAAACTCTGATTATAAATCTACTGAAATACCGTCCGTAAAAAAATCCTCTTAGATCATTTGCTGATAATCTAATGCAGTTTTGCTCGTCAAGGAAACAATAATTTAATGAAGTTTGTTTCTGTCCTCTAGAAAGTAAGTTATGTTACTCTTAGATGTGTTTAGTTTGACCATTAAGAGTTCTTTTATAGTTCAATTGCCACAATATTACTTTGTACAAGTAAATGCTAGAAAAGTGAAAAATATTTCCTGTTTTCGTCCTTGCTTTTTGACAGCTACCAAGAATTAATGAAAGAAAGTTCAAGGATGCCATTGTTTGATCTGAGGAAGCTTAATGCATCATTGCCAGTGCCTCCAGTTCCAAATAATTGTCTAAGCATCCTAGTAATGGGTGCAGCCAATGACTTTATAGTGGTAAGTATGCCATTAAGATTCTAATGTTGATGTTCCTCTTTATGTTCCCCATGTTAGGCAGCTCTTTATGTTGTATTGCATTAAAGTTCTTATTTTGGTATGTATTGCAATGGAAAAATTCAGCTTATTAATTTGTACTTTTAGATTACGCATGATATATAAAGACATAAAGCAATGCATGCACTCACGTATATTTGTATACCTCTACATATGTATCTATGGGCACCTTTATGGACACACAATCATATGTACATATAGACCTATTATTTGAGTGTCATCAATAGTGATGGAGGTATACATAAACTGATAAACAACAAAGGCAGAACTGTCTAAGGCTTTTTCAATTTGCAAATACTCTGAACATGTAAATGATATTTTCCCCATCGTTTATCCCTTGACCATCTGGCACAAACAAAATAGCTTGAAGCCAGGATTTAGCAAAAAAGAAGATAGAGAAGATCCAAAATTACAGAGATTAAAAAACTAGAGATAAAAGAAGGAGCACTTGCTGCTCTAGAATTTTGAATAAAGTCCATAACAAGATGGCTTCATAATGCTTGAGTACATTTCTTATATAAGAAAACCCTATTTAAGACTTAATCCTGGCCATCCAACTAGCCATTTATTATAAAATTTTAAGTGAAAAAAAAGACAAAAGACCTTAGAAATTACTACTTATGCCCTTAAGTGAATAAAATGACTCAAGAAATAAATAAAACACATAAAAAGACAGATTTAATGACTATTTTTGCCTTCTGCAGTTCCTCTTGTAAACATTAAGCTTGTTGATACTCGAGAGTAGTATTATGGGCTGCATCAGTCCCCCTTCCTCACAAGAATTTGCCCTTGAATTCAGTAGCTCGTCGTCTGAGGTATCACCATGATATAGAATGAGAAGCTTGACATTAAAAACATCGGAAGTGTGAACATGGGTGGGAAGCTTCAATTTGTAGGCATTGTCATTAATTTTTAGCACCACTTAACACGGTCCAAGCTTGCAGTGGCTCGACTTCTGATATTCCCCTGCTGGAAATCTACTAGTAAAGACTGCCCACACAGAATCTCCAACATCAAAAATCATATGCAGGCGATGTTTGTCAACGACGGCCTTATATTTGGCATTTGACTCTTTTAGCTGCTACCGAACCGCCTTGCTGCTAACTCGGCCCATATGTGGAACTGGTGCTCAATCAAGAGCATTCCTTGGGTTTTGTCCATAAACAATCTCAATGGGCTAAAACCTGTGGATTGATTCTTAGACCTGGTAAAAGCAAACTCAGCTTGACTTCTCTCGTAGAGAATGATTTCAGCAGCCCTTTCGGTGAGCATTTCCTATGTTAAACTCACTAGTTTAGAGTTTAGGGGAAAATACCTTGAACTCTTTAGTGTGAACCTCACTTCACACCCTAATTTCAAGTAAAACTCTAAAAAGAATATCGTTATCATTACCTCTGTCAACCCCATTCTCCTCTCTTCTTTCTCTGGGGACTAAGAAACCCGTTACCTCCTATATTTTCGAGAGTAGTATTCTGGGCTGCATCAACATCATTAGAAAAGCAACATTACTTTTTTGTAATATAAATTAGGAAAGTAGCCCCTTTTCTAATTCCTTATGGAAACTCAGATCCAGTAGGTGGAATGGAAATGGGCGAGTGTTCAGACTTCATGACTAAAAGAAAGATGGCTTGTTAGCGTAAAGCTTCTCGTTTACAGATACTCTATACGTTTTGGTCAACAAATCTACTTAACTCAATGTTCTTTACATGACTAAGTAGTTAAAAATTAGATGCTAGACATGCCTAAGAAGAATTGTTGAAGTGGGAGAGGGAGAATGTGAGGAGATGGTTTTCAACTAGGGACGGATTAGGATTTGGGATCGGCAGTTGATAGTTGAATTATCCATACACTTTTTCTACTTCTTAATATATTTTAATATTTTTGATAACTGGTTGGTAAATTACATCATCATTATCATCTCGGCCTGGTCTCAATTATTTGGGGTTGGATAATAAATCTTGTTTCGCCATTCCACTCTATCAAGGACCATACATAAACCATCACTTCTTTCCTCGCTACTTCCATCCATGTCCTTTGGTGCCTACCCCTTTAGAGCCTTCCACTTGAACCAAATCATTAGCCTAACCGATGTCGATTTAGGTTGACACTGCACATGACTAGACCACAAAAGTTTACTTTCCTCATTTTATCATCCATTGGAGCTACCTTTAAGTATTTCATTGATGCAAAGGACTATTTCATAGATATAGATTAATTTCAAGATTGTGTTATTCCCAACATGGATGGTTGAGTGGACTAAAGTGAGTCCAATTCGAGTCTATGAAAAATGGTATAGTTATTATAGTATTGACATCATTAGTGCTTGGGATTGTGTACTACTATTATTTTTGGTAAAAAGAGGTCACAAGCACGTTTAGCCATTGGATGTGAAATTCAATGGATGAAAGTGTGCACAACATTCGAGAAATTTTGTTTTCGACTCTGTGCCTAAACAATGTCACATTCTCAACCACCGGATTTCAATCTAATGGTAAGTGATGACTTGCTTATATCAAAAGTAAATTGTCTCATTGTATACATTTCCTTGTTGTTTTGTTCTCTTTGAAACTGTGTTGTTCCAACTTAATACTCTCCAGACATGACAAAAACCATATTAATGCATAGAAAAGAAAATTGAAATTCAGGCATCTGCAAATTATTTATGTGTATAGAATTAGATTATTTCAAGACAAAAATGACTAAATGATGTTTTTCAGCAGTCCTTATCGTTTCCTTATTATCTATAGATAATCTTTTCTGCAGTTCTTTTATGCAAAGTTTTCTTGCCAAATTTAAGCAGAATGGGATAATAGCATGAGATGGGAAACTATTATGCAGGATAATCAAGGGCTAAATGAGACGGCCAAGTTTTATGGCATTTTGCCAGTGGTTGTGGAAGGAGTTGCTCATGATATGATGCTGGACACTTGTTGGGAGAGGGGAGCAAGGGTAATATTATCTTGGCTAAATCAGGAGTTAAACAAACTAACAAGACTCTCACCTGGAGAAATCATGGAATGATTGGTATTGTCCTCTCCTCTGTTTCATATCCTTGTTCTTTTGTGTGGGTTTGTGTGCATTTTTCCAAAACGTTATGGCAAATGAGTTCAGGCACCTCTCTCTAATTTCACACACCCACTATGTAGCAAATTCACTTACTTGAAACTAGTTGTGTTTTCAGATAAAGGGCCCATTGAATAGGTGGTTTCTTTCTGGGATTGTATGCTATACCACTATTTACTTTTGGTACAATGTTACAATCACCTATAGCTGTCAGATGTGAAATCTGATAGCTTGGGGTATGGCTCAAAATGTGAATTTTTTTTTTTGGACTTTGAGCCAAGTCAATGGCACACCTTAGACAACCCAATTTCATATTCGATAGAAAGATTAACTATGACCTTCTTATACCAAAGGTAAATTGTTTTGCTTTATTTTATGGTTTTCCTTCCTAAAAGAGGAAGCATATCATTCATGCATTGTTTATGGTGTTCAATGTGAAGATTTGTTCACACATGTGCACAACACACACATTGAGAAGAAAAGGGACCAATTGAATAGGTGGTTTTCTAAAAGGGGAAGTATATTATGCATTGTCTATGGTGTTGAATTGGAAGATCTCTAAAGCCATACATGTTATGTGAGGTGTAGACCATTGGTCATACACTGTTCATCCTCAACAACATACTTCGGAGATGATCCATAATTTGGATGAGCTGTCTGCCGCTTTCCATAATTGGATCTATGGTAAGTGGAACTACAAGTTTCATCCCCATCGTCCCTTGTTGATATACCATTGAGGAATGGATGGTGGATGGTCCAACTCTGGATGCCACACCATAACAACAAGTGGATTAAACGGTTTTTCTTCTAAGAGAAGAAGGGCGGGGGTGGTAGAATTAATAATCTTCAAAATTCTGTATGTGGACATTAATATTTTCTTCAATTGTTAAATGTGCCTTTCTTGAAAAGGGTGGCATA